GACATTGGTTCAGCAGGAGGGAGCCACTGCAGTTGAATCATTGAGGGAAAGTCTCCCAGAATCCTTTGTGTCAGGTCGCCCCATGACCTACTGTTTCCACATACCCAGGCTCCTTAATGGTAAATGCGCTGCGCTATTGGTTTTCTGTATTCATGCCTGCTGCATGGAAACTAATTTCCACTTGAAGAGGAGCTCAGCTGGAGAGAGAAAAATAGAGTGTTAGAGACTGGGACAGAAACGAGCGCAGAGAGAGAGTCTTTGCCCAATTATATTTGTATTCGTTTTTTCTGTTTTATACTATTTTAATTAAAGGAATAGTTCACCAGAAATGTCATTATTTAAAGGGGTCATATGATGCTGCTAAAAAGAACATTATTTTGTGTATTTGGTGTAATGAAATGTGTTTATGCGGTTTAAAGTTAAAAAAAACACATTATTTTCCACATACTGTACATTATTGTTTCTCCTCTATGCCCCGGTTACGCTTTCTTTCTTTGCGTGAACATTTGGGCGGCTTTATGCAAATCTTCCCACATAGTGAGGTAGGTATGTGGGGGCGTGTTCGAACGAGCCGTTTTAGGTAGGTGTGGCTAACTCTTAACTTTTATAAAGAATATCTCTTTGGATTTGAGACTTTAGTCTTTGCAACTTTACAGATCTTCTTTATGCACCAAGAGCTTGTAACACTCTAAAGAGAAAGGAAAAAATGAAATCGCATCATATGACCCCTTTAAACTTAATATTTGTGTATTTTAATTGCATTTAAAATTTCCATCCATTTGGATTATTAGCATAAACTAATAAACTTAATATGATGCATATTTGTCAGTCATACATAAATGAAACATGATATTTTTGTAATAGTATTAATGCACTGCATATGTTTTAAATGCACAGTAAACAGGTTTATATATTTATCATTAATAAATCCAATTTTATTTAATTTTCATACATTTTAACCAACTGAATCTTACGTTCAACAGGAAGCTATCAAACCATGTTCATACTTTTTAACAGATTAAATGTATTTGTTTTCACATGTCATGATTAAGTTTTAGTTAATAGATATAGTTAATTTTCCATTGAAAGAAGTTGATTCAGTAATATTATGAATTAGCATGTGAAATACCTTTAAATCAACTTTAAATCCATATCTAGATAATGTGTTTTTCACACCTCATCCCTTGTTTTTTATTCATCTGCTATTCATCCTCGCTGCTGTCTGTCTTTTACCCTCTGCTGCTCATTTTATTGCCTCACCCTTGTCCTTGACCTCTGTTTATTCTCAGATTCACTCAGTTTCCTCTCTGTTTTATAAGAACCTCATCATTCTGTTGCTCCGTGTGCAGGTGTGGCTCACTTACACACACACACAAATAAATTTTTCACGAAAGAAGAGGAAGGAAAGAGAGAGAGAGAGAGAGAAAGATGAGGGAAAGGATTTACAAATGCATGAAGGAGGGAGTGTACAGAAGAAATGGTATAGATGAGTAAGATGAAGAGAGGGAAAGAGAACAGTTAGGGAAGGATGCACAGAAAGCATCCTGGTTCACTATGTAGTGCACACAGTTCCAAAGTGCAGTGAGTCTGTGTGTCATTATGTGTCAGAAATGGATTACTCTCAGATTAGAGCGCTCACACACACACACACACTCACGCACCTCTCTCTTGCATGGCTTGCGGATAAATCTGTCACTCTGGATGAGTGCACTGCAAGATGGAGACATCAAACAAGCCTTGTCTTTCTCGTTAAGATTTCATTACATCCAGGGGCGCTCACACACACACACACACACACACACACACACATATACACACACACACACACACAGTGATAATGACACCCCTTTAGCCACTTGAGGCATATAATTAGAGAGCAGACATGTGCTGACTCTTAACGATAGGTATTCTCCTGGCTATGGGACTCACCCATGAATGCACCCTTACATTTACAGTGCATCTCAAAATAAAAGATGCACTCCCTCAGGTTCAGAAATAAAAGCATGATGCAGATTGTTTGGAACTGTACTGCCAAGTGTACTGTTAACAAACAGAGAAGTCAAAGCGGTGTATTATTACAGTTAATCAGTGATGGGTTACTAAATGTAGTGGCACTACTAATTTAACTACAATTTTCAGTAGCGTGACTGTAGTTGTTTACAAAATAATGTAGCTGTTCATGTAACTAAATGTTTTGTTCTAAAGCGAGCTGCACAAGCATTTTGGAAGTCTGATTCAATGAACCACTTAAAGAACCTCAAAATGACTCATTTGAAAATAGTTATTACATTTTTAAAATGTATTTTGTCAAATGCTTTTTATACATATTTTAACTTTTTTGTTTCTCTTTATTGGTGGTATAGTGTAAATTGAATTGTTCAAATGCTATTCGGTCATTCAAATCGAGATTGATATACATCTGATTATTTTTATTAGTAGCTTGTAACTTAATGTAGTTTGACAAGATGTAGTTTCAAAGTAGCTTCTTCAACACTGCAGTTAGGCCTAATGGTGTTGTTATATTTCAGTATTGTTAATGGTCTTCTTTTGTAATGTTTAGGGTATATTTACATGTAAACAAGACAAGTGAGCCAAACGGAAGCAAATCAGACATAATGTGGGAGCGCTCGGCCTCTCCTGTCTGTCTGGATCTGTAAGATAAATTTGACACGATGACAATAATGTGTTTGTGCCAGGTTTTAATCTTCTGAAATCTTCACAGACTGGTCTTAACTTCCAGTTAAGCTTAGCCACTTTGAATTACCATTGTGTATGAAATGTGCTATACAAATAAACTTGTCTTGCCTTGCCTTGCCTTGCCTTGGTCATTCCCTCTGGTGCCTTTCAAGAGTAGCAGACAGTGGAGAATTCAGCAGTGCTATTGTTTTATGAATCTCACATATTAGTTGTGCTAAATGCTGACTGTAATATCTTTAAAAAAAATTGGGCCAATTGGTCTGCTTCGACTCTGAAAGCATTTCTGGTCTCCAGTTCAAATTAGTGATGCTGTAGCACATTTATCATAGATAAAGAGCGCCTTTCTTTGGCTATTGTTCCTCTGTCATTTTTCATCACTTGGAAGAGTGTCATTTATCCTGGAAGAGGGCCAATGTACAGCACTTCATAGCGTGTTACAAAACGACCTCAGCGAAGAGGCCGTTAGTGGTAGAACCACAACAAACCTGTTAAATACCAGCAAAGTGTACTTTTGTGGTGACACTAGTTATTTTACAGGATTATTCTGGGTTAAAAATTTTTTTAACTCACTCCTTTTTTTTTTTTTTATTATGTTGCCACAAGACGTAAACAATATGAGAGGAAAATCTCCAGTCTTTAGTGTCACATGGTCTTTCAGAAATCATTCTAATGGTGAAAGAATAGTGAGTGCTTATGAAATAGTAAGCTTCACATTTTTGCTTTTAAATTCTCCAAAAATTGGTCCCATTTTCTTCCATTATGTTTCACAATTAAAAGGATAGTTCACCCAAAAATGAAAATTCTGTCATTAGTTACTCACCCTCATGTCGTTCCAAACCCGTAAGACCTTCGTTCATCTTCAGAACACAAATGAAGATATTTTTGCTACGAGAATGCTTTTTGTGCGCAAAGAAAACAAATGTTTGGGTTTTTTTGCGCATAAAAAGAATTCTCGTAGCTTCATAAAATTATGGTTGAACCACTGATGTCACATGGACTATTTTAACGATGTCCTTATCACCTTTCTTGGCCTTGAACGTGGTAGTTGCATTGCAGTTTATGCAGGGTCAGACAGCTCTCGGATTTCATAAAAAATATCTTAATTTGTGTTCCGTAGATGAACGAAGGTCTTACGGGTTTGGAACGACATGAGGGTGAGTAATTAATAACAGAATTTTCATATTTGTGTGAACTATCCCTTTTAAGTTTTTTTTTATGGTAATCTACATTGCTGTTGATTTAACTTGTATTGAACACGAAATATTAATTTAAAAACAAATATACTGTGCCTCGCTGTCAGCTCCACTTTAAATTGAGTTAAAGTAACTGACATATTGTACATATAAATCAGCATTGTTCTGAGCTCAACATCTTTGAGCAGTCTCATTATAAAACATGCTAGCAAGTGTTTGCATTTCCTGTTACGGTTATCCCTCATTAAGCATGTAAATCTGTGTACACAGCTTGCGTAGATACGTGCCCGCCATGTTTAGCACCTCAGAACAGGGTGATTTTCTGCAGATACGGAGGCTCACAGTAGGTTTGCCATTCCCTGCCGGCCGGGACTAAGAGTTTAAGATTTAAAGCAAGACTGTGTGACATGGATTTGCCGTAGCTGGAAGGATTTGGCAGACGTACTTAAGAAACCATTGCTCTCTGACTGCATAATTTTCTAATCTCTTTTGGGCGCACGTCCCCACTGCAGAAAGACTGGCTGCCCTCTCCCACACAGTCTAACACTGTTTTCAAGGAAAAGGCCAGTTTGCTTCAGATATTTGTGTTTTTTTGTCTCTAGATAAAAAGCTAAAAACAAAACTAGGCTGTGTACCTATGGATAATTCGAGCTGTTGTGTTTAAATAGCTCAATGTTGTGATTTAACTGGCCTGCCCTTGGGAAGGTGTTTATAGTCCTCACGGTGGATGGCTGTAAATGCTCTGAGACAGAGAAACTTACAGCCGTGTTACTGTGTGGAAACATTTCAGTAGTCAAATATTAAAAAGCCAAAAGACACCTTTAGTACTTTTTCTTTTCTCTTCAGGGCCTCTTTATTAAAGGGTGGGACTTTTCTCCGATTTTCAGTGACCTGTTAACGGGCCTAAATTCGAGGCTGGGCTTTTTAGGGTGGGTGCTTCTATGCTAACAAGACATGAGCGTTGTTGAAATCTTGTTTTATGAGGCTCATTTATGGAAACAAATTGGAACTGCTCATAAAATGTATACAGTTGCTGTCAGTTAGCAGTGAATGAACTTGTTAGTGATGTAATGCATGAACTGAATGTGTCTGTCTCTCTCACACTTGCAGATCTCGGTGGGTAAACTGCTGCTGTCATTATCATGATCATGATGCAAACCCTGCTCCTCATCCTGAGCTTATGTGTCTGGGGTTGTCATTGCAACGCCCGCACAACACCCCGAGTGCACCTGTCATATAAAGGTGAGAAATGTGCAATTTTTCCCCGTTTTTTAAAACATGCACACACACACATTTTTATTTGTATGTGTATTCTTTTTTGAGTTACCAATACATTACTGGTCTGATATGTAACGAAACAGGCCGTATTTACTATGCATTTTTCCATTGTTGGTAATAAAATGAGTCACTGAGGTGATCATAATTATTAGACCTCATCTCATTATAACATTAAAATCCTCAATAACACAAATAGGTGTGTCTGACAAAGTACAACCATTGGGGCAGAAATGTGAAAATGCAAATGCTTTAGAGGTTTTTTTTCCTGGATACTCTATATCAGGGGTGGGCAAACTTGGCCCTTCCAGGCCACTTTCCTTCAGAGGTTAGCTCCCTAATCAAACACACCTGAACCAGCTAATCATTGTCTTCAAGACTACTAGAAGGCTACAGGCAAGTGAGTCATATCAGGGTTGGAGCAAATCTCTGCAGGAAAGTGACCTGGAAGGGCCAAGTTTGCCCATCACTGCTCTATATGAAGGAATTTTAAAAGTGTAATTTCTAGACTTGGAAGTGTCAAGTTAAAGGTGCTGTATGTAAGTGTTTAACTCTACTAAAGCATAAAAATACCATAATATGTTTGCAGATATTTAAGAAACATGCTAAGTTAACATACTTGTTTATCTGAAAAACAATGCTACAGTCAGTTATTCTCCTTTGAAAATGTGCGTTCCGGGCCGGAATGTCATCTCTGTTTTGGTTTGTGAAACCCGCCCACTGCCAGTTTACCCAATTGTATTTCGACACCGCGGGTTGCCAGTTGGCGGAAAACACAGCGTATTTCATTTCATTCATCGTCAAGTGCGCTCGCTCCTGTTGGTGTCGTCAATCTGGCAACCTGCGTGGGCGTCAAGTCTGAGGAGGAGGGGCCTGGTGAAAAAACCCTCTCCAATATTTTGAATTTGGACTGCAATACCTAGTTCAACCACTCGGTGTCAATCCTACATACAGCACCTTTAAATAATGAAGTCATGGAAATTTCTATAATGAATATTTTTTTTTTGTCAAGTACTAAAATATTTAATCAGCTAGAAATTGCTAAGAAGTTAGTATTTGTAATTTTATAAAATCCAGTAATCACAAACTACTCTATAATTCAGTTCTTGAAATTCCTTTAATTACAGAAATTGATTATTATTATTTAAAATTATTTTTAGTTATTTTATACTACCACTCCTAGTTTCTGTAAATAAAAAAACTTTGAAAACAAGCAGATTTGTTATTATAGCTAAATAGCAAGAAATATCTTACATGGCCTATAATATGGTTAAAAAGGTGGAGAACTACTGAATAGACTTATTTGTTTTTTTAAACGTTATAATAATTTAAATGGGTAGTTCCCTTCTAAAAAGAAAATGCTCATTTTCATGTTTTTCCAAATCTGTATTACTTTCATTCTTCTGTGGAACACTGAAGATATTTTGAAGAATGTTTCAACTGTTTTGTTAATATAATGAAAGTGAAACGGGTTTAAGACAACATTGGACCCCACTGACTTTCATTGTCAGGACACAACAAAAAAAAATATTTTGTGAAGAAAGTCACGCAGGCTTGAAACAGTTAATTTGAAGGGCTCGTTTAAGTTTTTTAGAAAGTCTGTGGAATGTAATTATCATGCTTTTTGGAGCTTCTGAGCACTTTGTCATCAGTGGCTTTTTAACGCCTCTCTTTTCTTACTGTTCCTCATGTCACACTCTCTCTCTTTCTCACTTTCTCGCTTCCTGTCTTCCTGTGTATGTTTTGAATCTGGCACCAGCATGCCTCATCTCCCAATTAATGCCCCAGAGAGGGGACTACCCATCATCCCCTCTGCAGGGGGATGTGTCACGGTGGGGCACAAAGAGATGCAAGCAGAGCGAGGCAGATGTTTGAAGTTTAAAAGTCAAATCTCTCGAACACAAAAGCATTAGCATTTTTTTCCCATTCAGCTCGCAAGCGGTGGTCAAATAACGGGCTTGAAAAGATACAGTGGCGTTTTTGAAGAGATATTTGTTTTATATAATGAAAGACACTAGGCACAGCTGCATGCAGACACATTTATAATACTATTTTGCCCATCCGTCTGACAGAAGCACAGCAGCACAACAGGTCGAAGTCTGACATGAATTTGCTCTCAGTTCTCAGAAACTGTCACACACACAAAACCCAGCAGGTGCCTCTGCAGTGGAGCCCTATTACTTTGTATAATCCATCAGAAAGTATTCACACACACACACACACTCAATGTATATTTAGTACACAACCTGGTTGCATGTGCCTATTCAGCAAGCTGAGACATGGTTCTTCTTGACACCCTACTGTCAGGATGCTGGGCTTTCCTAACACAGTGTCCCGATCAGATGCGACGCAACAATATTCCAGCGACAAATTTTCAGGCCACATAAATGAAAATGCTGTGCAATGATTTTGTGTTCGCAAAGCATCTCAAAGCTGAACAGTGTAATATAAAGAACACATACATTCATGACCTGATACTTCTCCATGCAACATACTTTTTATGGATATCATTGTAAAAATTCAGGAATTGTTTGTGAATTTACAAAATCACAATCAGTCTTTCGATGTTTGGTGTTTAATATACCCTGACCATTTATTTGTAAGCTTTTAACAAAACAACACTTTTGAACATTTTATATATATATAAATATATTCTATATTACACACAAAATTAAAGGATTAAACTGAAAAATATAGATACAATTAAGAAAAGAAAATACACAAACAAACACATACACAACATACATGCATATGTACCAGTGGTATGTGGTGGTGTTCTGAAATGAGGAAGCAAAGTTTTTTTTGTTTTAGTCAAATGTAAATTCATTAAAATAAACATAACTTACACAGAGGAAAAAAAATTGTTTTAATATATTTTTACATCAACAATGTAATTGATATAATATTTATTAAAGCCAAGTATGAATTTTTGTACTATGTTTTTTTCTCATCCATTATTTTGAGGAGACACTGCCTCCCTGGCCTCCTCAGAGGAAATAATTAATATATATATACATTTGAATACATTTTGTATACATACATATAAACATTTGAAGTGGATCAAAAAAGTTAATCAAAGTTGTCCTAAGACAAGAATGCATTTAGGTTTTACTTTGATGAAAGTTTTTGATCCACTTCAAATGTGGACTAGTATGTGTATATATATATATATATTATTGGATTGATTATAAGTGATTAGATTCTAAGTTTAGAATTGATTGTGCATATAAGACGTCACCTTTTTCCTCTACTTTTTTTTTCAGTGTTTTACTTAAATATCCAGTTATGAGGTTTATGTTAGTCTTCGAAATGTAGTATGTGTGAGTGTCTGAGTGTGTAAGCGTGAATGTCTGTGAGCCCAAATGTTTGTGAGGGTGATTATGACCCTGGGTTGACTGGGGTTATTATGTGCGTAGGTGACAGTGGGATAGATCCCTGTTCTCAGAAACAGGATTGGCTTGTGGCGTTTGAGGTTTATTATTAGCTTGTGTGGTTGCTGTGTTTACCTCGGCAAAAGCACAGGGAAGCCCCCCAAAGCATGACAGGGCTCACTGCCAGCAACCTGTTCCAAAATGCCACAGAGACAACAGGAATGTTTGGAGCTTCAACTGGTGTCATCCAGCCTGAAACTGTCTCCACCCCTCAGCAGAGCCACTGGCTTTGTCAGGATCAGGTATGAAGTTTGAGTTATGGTCAGGGTTGGGCTTAAAGATTTTGAGAGTCCCATTCCGGGGATCTAAATGGAAATAATTCAGTTTACACTCTTGAAATCATTGCTTGTTCATCCATCTAGACAATGGCACTCCTATTCCTTCTCAAGACCAAGATGAATGACTTGAGTGCATTAAGAAGATAACACTCAAGTTCTGTGAGTTCTCTCTGGAACTAGGCCACTTTTTTAAGTGTCACTTAAAAACTGACAGCAGTGCCTGCTTATAAATGTGGGAAACTTTTTTGGAAAGGGTATGTGGATGAACGAATTCTGTAAACCAGAACTACGAGGCAGAAGATCAGAAACAGAGCTATGGGAGATGATTTTTCTTCTCTAGCCTGTCTTATGGTTTGACCCCTGAATGTCTGTGGGAATGAGGTCCACCTTCAGAATCACACAGAAATCTTTGTACAGCCCTGAATCTCCAATCATTCATAAAGTTCTCCACCTTGAGTGTTTGTTTATTCAGTACTTTTGATAATTGATTATGCATATGTAGGACAGATTTATTTAGCAGATTTGGCGCATAAACTGAGAGCAAAAAGTTCACTTGTTGATAAACCAACAAATTAGCTTCTATTGTAGTTAATGTAGCTCCTATGTTGAATTATGTAGCTCTTTTAGTCAAGCTTTGTGGTGTTGATAGCAATAGATATAAAGACATTATATTGTTCACATCAAAAATAAATGACCTATTACACTGGAGGATTTACAGAATGGGCGCCTTGTGCAATAATGAGGGTATTTCTTGAACACGTCTGTCTGATACAACTGTGTTGTTCAGACTTATCTTTGTTGTTGGATCAAAGCCTTGCAAATGAATACAAATGGGTTTCTCTCTCATATATGACCATCCAAGTTTCTTGTGCAAAGTGTTTGTTGGCAGATGCATTTATAATGAGGTCATGTAGAGTTTTGCATTTCATCTACAATCAACATTTCCTTCCCTGGAGAAACTCGGAGGAATTCCTCACTAGGGATGGGCGATATGGGCTTTAAAATATATCACAATATTTCTGGTATTTATTACGATAACGATATCAATGACGATAATTCAGGGAATCCTGTTTCTTTTAAGAAAAGTATTATCTTTCCTATTTTTACCCAAAATGGGGTGAGCATTGTTCTCGAGTGCACTCATTCAATCCCACAATGCACTGCAAAAACGAGTGTACAACTGGTGCATGCTCAACGGCTAGAGAATGCCCATAATGCACCGTGAGAGTCACGCGCCGAATGAATTCGCGCATCTCGC